AGTCATGAAGAATATATTTACTGTTGTTCTTTCAGCTTTTCAACTATTATGAGTATTCTAGTATTCAACTATTATCAGTTTTCTAGAGATTAGTCTTTTTTTATGCATTGCTGAGATGGGCAAACTTTTTCAAAAAAGTTTTCGTTTGCATGGTGTTAAATGGTAAAAGGTTTGAACGCGTTTCTTGTAACCACTGTCAGAAACTGTGCTGCAGAGTGGGCTTGAACTTCATTTGGCTTGATCTCAGTTCATGTGCAAGTCTCCTTTTGGGAACAATAATGCTATGTCCTACTTGCTCCTGGGTGAAATTTCAACTTTGTAATGACTTATGTGTTAAAAGAATCTTCTGGTGGTGCAAACATTTTCTACGCCGAGAAAAATTTGACTTTAAGTGACACTTTGGGAGCTGCAGTCCAAAAAGTAGTTCATTTGGCCAGAACAAAAGCTAGTTTTTATTCCATTAACATTTAATTAAAATCAAATGTAGTTATAGTTGAGAGGTACAGTACATATTTCTCCTTCTTTCACATTAATAATTGTAATATTTGGAGTCTTCAATGGATACCACAGGCTTTAAAGAGGCACATGCAGCTGTGGGGCCTCACTTATCCTCTGACATGGACTAAGTTGTTCACGAGAAACTGCTATTTATTCCTTTCAATATAACCTTTTATTATAATGCTCTATTAAAATTGTCTACTGTGAAAATTGGAGCTTGAATCAGTCACAAAATGCTATACCATTATGGTCTCTTATTCCACAGTAGTCATGAAGTTGGATGCTAAGGTACTTTATTCGCTGAATAACCATACCTATTGAAAAAAGTATTATTAAATAAACATACTTCCTCAAAATACTTACATTTGTGAAATAACAGCTAGTATCACAGTATGTTCAGCAGGTTTTGTAGCACGAATTGACCTGGAATTAAGAAAGTGCAGGCCATATTTGATAAAACAATTTTATTAACAAAAATTTATCATCCAAACAATACATATTAACATGAGTTGCACAATTTTTTGTACTTCTCTCTCTGTGTATGTAAATTGCAAGCAAATCAGGTGGTTATTTTACCTGCCTCATTGCTCTTTTTCTATGTTTTCTGAAAGGCCAGATCTAGGCTGCTAAAATCCAAGATGAAACAATAAATTCTCTGCTAAAATCCAGATGAAACAATTCTTGGCAAGCAAGACTGCATCAAGTAGAACCAACATACTGAAGGTATGTGTAATGGTATGTGGGAATGACCTTGAGAGATAGGCAAAAAGATGCTGCCTAGGGAACAGTCAGATAAGAGACAGCATAGCCTGCAGCTGCATAGTGGGTGGAGTAAGAGGCTCACAAGGGGCCCTATCTAAGTTCTCAGGCTGTAAAGGTGACAGTGGAAGAATTGTACTTTCAGACTTGCAAGATTCTGTTAATGTAGTTTTATACATAATAAAGTAGAATTAGTTTATCTGGTTGAGTTTCCTGTCTGGTCTACCTGGTAAGGCTGACAGTATGTCTGCAGTTACGGCAGGCTAATAAGAACAGAGTCACTTTTGAATTTACACTTTGAACTCTAAATAAATTTTATTGGCTAAAACTCTCCCCAATGAGAACTTTAGAAGGATATTGTCTCAGAAGTAATGTAACTTTAACTTCAACTGAAACATTACATGGACCCTATGGATGGTGGTTAGCAGTCAGAGAAGGAATATGTATTACTCAAAGGTTCTTGCCTAATGTAGTAGTTTCTGACCTCAACAAAGCTGAAGAGAACAAGGTTCTACCACAGCCCATCCTGATAGATTATTCATTTATCCCACTCAGCTTATAACAGCAAAATAGTATCTTTTTTGTGATGGATCCTGAATATGGGACCAAGTGTCCTTTCCCCAGAAAAGCAATATAAGCCTCATTTTCATCAGTCTTCTGCTGTACCCTGAAAAGTCTGAGGGTCAAGAGTTTTTACACATGTACTTAATGCTGAAGACACAAGTCAGTTTTAAAGCAAAACATCTATTGTTTCTTTTGCAGTAAGAACTGCAGTGGAACAGCAAATTACATGTTTGTGATTTCTTCAGAACCTGCCTTATAAATCAGAATCTTGAAAAGTTTACATTTATACTTATATATGCCAGTTCAGCTGATTGTTGCCAGTTTTTTCCAAAAATCAGACATCCCAGAGCATTTTTCCTAGCCAGGCTTGACATATTACCTTCAGCTGTTAGATATTATAAGATCCGCTGTTCTGAACTTTTTTGCCACTGTGGTTCTCATGCAACAGAGGATGTAGTCCATGTCTTACTATGCTGCAAATTTTATAGAGATTTATGAGCCATTTTAAACATGCTCCTTCTAAAAGACTTGCCTGGCATAGAAGATGAGATATAGATCTCACTCCTCCTGTCCTACTGTCAGATCAATATTATATGTTCCATAGCCAAATTTTGTTTAGCAGCCATGAAAATACACCCTCAGATTCTCATGGCATAGCAGAGTAAGTACCAAATATTTAAAACTATTCAGATTGCTAATGATGCTACTGCTATAAATAACAAGATTTGAGGTCTAGGAACCAGAGACAACTACTTGTACAGCCCAAATGAATCCTTTTATATTATATCAACAGGTTACTGTAATGTTTCTTTCCCCCTTAAGTGATTCCATTACTTCTGGTTTTGATTTTACTCTCATTTTTAATTTTATATGTTATTTTTGTTGTATTTGCATATGCTTCGTCTGACTGGTCAGTGATCATCAATAAAAGGAACTCCTACTGCTTACACATGAATTTAATTTTATAAATGCCTTAATGGATGGACTTTGGAGGATCAGATCATTGAATGCACTGCTATATAGATGTATCTGACCCAAGCATCACTAAAGATGGCCAGACCGACTCAGTTTAGTCATCATAATCTTTACATTCCCAGCAATACCCCTGGTCTTACTTTTAATTTGTGGAGAATTTATTCCACTTTATTCCTGTCATTAGAACACAGAACAGGTGTTTCCCAGGCAGAGATGCCATGGTTCCACAGGGTTCTTCCACATGAAAACACCTTCCTAGGGCCTCAACAGGGAGGGAGATTGCCATGACTCCATGATCAAAGCCCTGCCCCTTTTTCATGTGTTTCACATGTGACACATGTAAAAAAAGGGGCATCCTTTTAATGGTGTAGTCACAGCTATCATCTTGATTTTTTTTTACCTCTTTCCCACAAACACCTCATGCAGAGAATTGATGAATCCTTCTCCTTGAAATCTAACTTTCTATATTCCAGAGATTTCATGTACTGATTCCATGTGGAAGAACATTTCATCACATGATAGCCCTGCTCAATAGCCTAGAAATGAGAAATTTTGCCACTGTAGTTAGGAAGTGAACATAGAAATTGCATAATAGTATTTTGCTATACTGCCAGGGTCATATAAAATACAAGAACAAGTAATTACCTACAGATGGCTTCTGCATCAAAGTGTCTGGAGTTTCGATAATCTATGACAATTATTTCATGATGTTTATCAAGAAAGCATTCAAGTGCTGATTCTGGCGTCTGAGCAATGTTACATCTATACCCAGCTCTATCACAAGCCCACCAGAATCCATCGCTCTGTTTGTCTTCTTTTGCAAAGATTAACAATACCTATAAAATACAGAAGATAGTTTAAGATGATTGTACATTTAAAACAATAACTTCGGTCTATGACCATAAAATAAAATAAAAATAAATTTAAACTAACTTCTTTCACTGTATAGTTGATCCAGTAATGTTTAGTATTAATAATATTTTTAAAATAACCTCACACCCTCCATGAACACATTCACTTTCCAAAAGCAAGAAGTAAAAACAATGTTTTAAATATGTATACATATTTGAATGTTATTTTTGCTTTTAAGAACATGAGCTTTATATTGTTGAAGGGATATACGTGTGCTTGTGAATGTGTTTATAAAGTACATTCTTAACATTCCCAGAGTTGGGATGAAACTTGTACAAGTGAACAATCAGTCTAGTGGCAATACACTATGGGACATAAACTACAATGTCCATTATACTTCTATTAATGTCATTATTGGTCCAAAAGATAATGATGCCATCACTTCCCCCTTTCGGTTCAGTGAAGGAAACTATATTATGTCTAGACTGCCATTTTATATGTCTGTGGACCTTCTACTTCCAAGAGATACCTCCCAAGTATCTTTAAAGGATTCTGTTTGGTTCAAGCTAAAGAAGCTCCCTGCATCTATCTTTTCCTTTAATCTCTCTCTTTCTCAAAGCAATGAAAAAACTGAGCAGTGCTTTCTGATGCACCAAGTTATCAGGTGATGCTATTAATTCAAGTTTTTAATGAGAGATCTTTAAGAAAGGAGAGTATTTGTCAAGTTTACGATATTTATGAGCAGTTTTCAAATTTCATAACAGAGGTCATCAAAATAATGAGTTCTGCAATGTACATAAATTAATCATAGCAATTCCTTTATATGTTACAGTCACAGATGAATAAAAAAGAAAGCTTGCTTTATAGTAAATATAACATTAATTATAATATTATAATATTAATGATATAATCAAATGAAGGACAGACTCAACTTTTATAAGATCTGCCAAGAATTGATGAGACTACCCAACCATCTCTCCTATAAGTTTTGAACCCTATTTATTTCACAAAAATAAATTGTCATGTTGATTTTCTTAGATCATCCTGGATAAGCAAAGCAAATAAACAATTGTTCTAAGTCAGATAATGTCTGTGTCACTGTCCATAGCCATGATGTCACTATGTGGAAATCAACACATTTAGTATGAGAGGTTGGCAAGGTGACCATGATTTTTTATTATCAGAAACTATCTGAAATAAGCGTTATGATAATTAAAACAATTGCAGCATCACATATGTCAGCATATGACTAATATAGTTAAATTACTAGGTACATTTGTCTGTACAAAATCGATGTTCTTTATAGTTCTAAACTAAGACAGTACAAGAGCATAATCTCCCAAAATATTTGACATTACAGTATTGCTTGAATCTTTGTAAACATAAATATCAACTGATACAATTCTATTAATTCAGCTATCAGGAAAAAGAAACATTTAAAATTAGGGTCTTACTCCTTTTTTTTTTTTTTTAGGTACTCAAGATTTGTACTGACTTATGCATTTCCCTTGCACAAAAAGATTACATGAGTTTTTGGAACTGTACCACTAATACTTACTGGTAAAGTAAGATAGATAGATAATTTATTGGTCAAATAAGACAAGTCCTACCTGAATAGGATCTTGTGTCAGTCTCATAGGTCCAATTTCTGTCTCAGTAGTTGAAGCCTGCTAAATGAAAGTAGTGTGTAAGACTTTTTTTTTTTGGTCCCATTGTAAGACTATATTAATGGGATTTCACTGCAGTGATTAAACTAATTTGGAAAAAAAATAATTTATCATATGACAACTTTCAGTATTAGGCCTGGGTTCCCACAGAGCACAGTTATATACATTATTTGTGTGTTACACCAGAAGAATATTCTTCTCCATTTGTACAGACTTCACAATTCTGGCTTCTCTTGCTAGGGAGCACAGCTATCAGCCTAGAGAAATTTATCAATGGCTTATTTATTGAGAGTTCTGAAGCAGGAACTCTTCCTGTTGTTCTTAGAATAACTTAGTCAAAATCACATTTTGCTCTTGTAACAAATCAGATTAACTATTCTCCTGGCAGGAGGAGACTATGGAAATGATTGGGGTTTGCGATTCCATAATCATAATTCTCACTGTCAGAACAGTCTTGCTTATGTTCCATTCCAACAGTTTCAGTGTCAGATACAACAGGACAAATGTAGCCGAACATGCCCCTTATCCATATAGAAGACTACCTTTCAGTGTTCAAAGAGCTTATTTTTTTCTATAAGACATGAAGCCCCACTATATTTCATTTTGACTCTAAATGCTCCTTGAAGTGAATCAAGGTTTAAAGACAAATTCCATAACCCCAGGCTGAAATCATATGTGGAATAAGTCCAACAGAACTGAGTGGAACTTATTAAAGAAAGAATGTGTGTGTCAGACTGTATATCAACTCCAGACCAACACAGCTGGGACTTCTTTGGACCTCAGAAGCTTCATTTAATTTTGTAGCCTTCCCATGGACTACTCTTGTGTTTATATTTTATCAATTTAGTTAGGGCTGTGCAAAGTGTTCAAAACAAGTGCTCCACAAAGTGCTTTAGTGCAAAACAAAGCACCTCTCTTCAGATGGTTGAAGTAGCCACATCCTTTGGAAAGTTCATATAGCTGCTTCAAAAGCTGCTTCCAGTTATTTGCACATTTGTGGATGTGGATAGACATTGCTATGACTGCTAATGAAGTGAGGTTACTGGGCACGCACATGTTTGCAGCCAGTCCGGAACAGACATATGAGCCTTAACGAAAGATGAGGTTGCTTTAATTATTTGAGGAGAGGTTTTTGGTTGCTTTCACAAGCTTTGTAAAGCATCCTTCAAAAATTTTGCACAGCCCTAATTTTAGTTAGCTTATTTATTTATTTATTTTGCAAATTTCTATTCCATTACTAGACCCTGGATAGTTGACAAAAATGACCAACAACAGAATAAACATCACCAATAAAAGCCATGGTAAAATTAAACAGCATAAAATCTCTAGAAAACAATGCAGCTAATCCACAGCCCAAATTCTGATGGGCCCATCACCCTCAAATATTTGACAGAACGTATTCGTTTTTAACATCCTCTTAAAACATTGTCTAGCCTTGGGGGCAGGGGACTCTTCCACGGCTAAGGAAGGAACAATTGAGAGGGTTCATCACCAGGCACTGCCTCTCTTAGGCAAGAAGCCCAAAGCTTGCCCTCCCATATACATCACGCCAGATAGGTAGATTCTACCTGAAGAAGACAGTCCCTAAAGTATCCAGGAGTCAAACCATGTAGGGCTTTATAGGTTAACCAGCACTTTTAATTGCAATCAGAAACCTACTAGTAACTGGTGCAACATCTACTAAAGAGGTATGATATGACTGTAGCAGCTGTCACTGGCCAGAAACTGAGCGGGTGCATTACTGGACCAACCTTAGCTTCCAGGCGTTCTTCAAAGGCAGCCCCAAGTAAAGCATGCTGCATTAGTCACGGCACTGTGATAAGGGCATAAATCCCTGTTGCAAGATTAAATATTTCCTCCTTTTTAAAAAGCCCACATTCACCCGATCCACTCCTTCAGCATAGCTCACCTGAGCAAATTCTGCTTGTCAAGAAAAAATGAAATTTTAGTGAAGAAAATTTGAAAAATGCTTGTGAATATTATAATTGGTCTTATTATGCAGACACCTTTCCACTTTTTATCGGGATAAGTGTTCCATTGTTTAGAACACTTCCAAAAACAGCTCCTCAGAAAGACACATCAAGAATTAATGCTTAACATGAAATTCCATGTTTTCCTGATCTATGATCTGCCTCATTTCAGCTTCCTTAGTGGAATCCAACATAAACTAAATTGCTTGTTTATTCCAATATTAATAGGCTACTCAATTAGCCCAACTCAAGCTCTCACACTGAGTTACACCATAAGCACAATGCAGAACTTACATACATTTCATTAACACTGTCAGTAATGTGTAGCTAAGCATTAACATTAACTGCAGCTCACGAAAGCTGTGACTGCACTGCATAGAGGAGTGATATAAAGTTGTCATGGTGCCAAATTCATGCTAATTTTTGCCCAGCCAGTTAAATCAGTATTATTGGAAGATTCCTGTGCCAGCTTTTCCTTTAAAGACAGACTTTACTGACTTATCTGAGATTTTAAAAAACAGGTAAAGCTTCAGAAAAAGTACTCCAAACATCTATTCTCAATATGTTGCATGCCTTTTAAGGTAGTTATTTTAAATGCAACTTTATAGTTTTTATGCTGGTTGGGGTGACGGGAGTGGTATCCAAGCATATCAATGTGGAAAAGGCTGTAGCTAAACAGACATTATTTCATAATAATTTGTGCTGTATAAGGTAGCCCAGCAGGAGTTCTCCTTCTTGAGATACTTTCTATCTCTGTACAGCAGAATATGATTCCTATGAACAAGAAATAAAGTCTGCATATGTAAGCACACCAGTTAAATACTTCTTCCTTTTTAAAAAGCCCACATTTCAACACCTAGTTCCAACTACTCCCTTATGGGGTTTTTGTTTTTTTGTGTTTTTTTGGTGCCTTCAAGTCAGCTTTTGGCTTCTGGCAGCTGCCTGGACTAGTCCCTGCAGTTTTCTTGGCAAGGTTTTTTGGAAGTGGTTTGGCATTGCCTCCTTCCTAGGGTGAGAGAGAGGGTCACCCAGCTGGCTTTGTGCCTAAGGCAGGACTAGAGTTCATAGTCTTCTGGATCCTAGTCCAATGCCTTAACCATTACACCAAACTGGCTCCTTACTATCTTATTTAAGGCTAGCAGATCTGGGTGGTAAAATCTGGACAAACACTAGATGGCAAAGAAACAGAAGTCTCTCATTCTTTCCTGCCATTTAGTGGTTGCCTGGATTTCTACCACTCAGATCTGGTAGCCCTAATCTAGTTACCCTTTAAAGAAGTCTTGCTTTATTTCTTAGATTTGTACTCTAATCTTTTTTGTTTCTTTCACGCATCTCAGAATGACAAAACAAGGATCAGAATGTTGTGGTGCAAGCACCATCCCTTGCACACCCTTGTGCAACACTACCACGCACATACAAAAAGAGCAGAACTTGCATTGTAATGTCATGATACTTGTTTTGTCATCTGCCTCCTCCTGCCCACCCCTGCAAACAACTGTGGCAGGGTACATGTTACCGAGCACAAAGTCCCAAGTCCCTGCCATCTTCCAGAAAGAGGAAAAACTCCTGCCTGGCATCCTAGAAAGATGCTGCTCATCACTGTTGATAGTAGTGGAATAGAAGATCAATTATCTGACCTCAGGCTAAGGCAATTCTAAAGTTTCTGTTTAGCTATCCAATGATCTGCTCCTAATACCTAGCTGAACGGTATCATGACTTCCCTTCTTCCCCGTGCGTGAGCACCAATCCATGCTACTGATTCATCCATTCCTGCTTAAAGAACTTAGAACAAAGAAATGTGAAAGCATTTAGAAGCTAATGACACACAGTGAATAGCAAAGCATTTCTTCATTTTCCTAACTGGTTAAGAGTTTTTGTCTTTTCTATGCAGGGACTTTAAAACATTACAGGACTAGCTTATGGAATATAGCTGTCTTATGACTGGCAGAATCATTTTCATAGCAATAGCGGCATAGTTCTTACTGATTTGTTGGAAGCAACATGTATTTTTCTTCAAGGCTACAATCTGCTGGACACGGGAAACACTCCACTTTTCTACAGTACCAGGGAAACTAGACATCTTGCTCTAATGTGATTGCGGTATTGAATAATGTTGCATGACTCGTCAGGAGTACATAGCCTATATTATTCGTGACAGTACTCGTAATGAGGTTCACCAATATTTCTCCTTCATTGCCATGCCATTGTGCAAATTTCTAAGAGCCAAACTAGATGTGACAGTGGATGCTGTGTAATGAAGAGATGACATTCCAGTTTTAATAGTCAAAGAGGTATGTTGTTAAAGAGCAGCTTTACTTCATCACTGACAATACAAGACCATTCTCCTCCAAAGCTGAGAGCAATGATGGTGTTAAAGACACTTTTCTGATATTTGCTGCCTGAGGAAGCTCTTTTATTCTCCCTAATGGCTACCCTGACAGGAACAAAAGGACATTGGATGACGTCAGCAAGGATTAAAGGCTCAGTTAACCTCTGGGGTACTGAGGTATCATTTCAGCTGACAGCTTCTGGGACCACGTACTGCATGCCTGCAGAATGATTATCCTTGAGTTGAGTATTCTATTTTTGGCACTATCCTCTCATGTCACACTCTCCTTGGGGGATTCCTCTTCTGAGAGAAAAGCAGAGAATTCAGCCCAAGATACATCTGCAGGCTTACAACTTCCAGTGAAATAAGCGCTTTCATTATTCAAAAAGAGGTGCTTCATACCCATTCCTACACATTGCGTTGATGTTTTTCCAAGGCTCTGCATAGCCATAGTATGTGCCATTAATCTAGACAGGCAATCAGCATAAGATGGCTTCCAATGTTCCCAGCCACACATTCTAATCTTCACATGACTAAAATGGAACCAGTTCATGGGAGTATTTTCACCACAATGTGGCTAATTACATAAAGAGCTTTTGGCTCATTGCTTGATTACTAATCCACCCTAATTTTCGGGGGAGGAGGGAGTACAACAGAGAAGAAGCCACCCATAATGTCCCAGCATTTAATGAACATTTCAT